GAAGCACTGTTGTCACGTATTCCTTCGGACTGAGTATGAGAGCCACCAAACTCTATCTGTCGCTTATCACGACCACCTTACAGTATTGCTTAGAAGCTTGGTTGATATCAACATCCGATCAATATCTCAATGAGCCGTACTTTAGGGTGAGTAAGAAGACGTCCTATACATAACCATGGAATCCCCGCAACACATTTCCGACTACCCAACAGCAAACCAACCCACCCAAGCACATTGGCATCAACTCCACCAATACCCAACGCGCTGCGAGGCATTGCGTACCAACAAGAATTTCTCATTTATTTATTCCACGTAACGCAACGAATGTCACTGTTATATACATATGTATATATGTATGTACACAAGCTTTCATTACACCCAGGAATTTTGGCGCGTTTTCATTGCTTTACATGTTTTACATAATATAAACAAATTGGTAAATGTTTATTTACAAATCATGCCAACCATGTACTGCATACATACATACATATATATATATATATACACATACATAGAAGTGTGGAGCGTATGTGCCGTTCAGGTCGCTGAGCTTACCGAAAGCGCTAAGGGAGCTCGCTGACCTGACTGTGTGTCTACCTCATTGCCATTGGGTGGGTGTTGGGCAGCTGGGCAGCTGGGCTGCTGGGATGGTTATGTTCTGCTACGTTCGGTTCGTGTTTCGTTTTTAATAGTATAGAGAATTTTTCCGGGTCTGACGAGCTTTCAACTCTGTATGTGTATACATACGCGTATATGAAATATTCATGTGTTTTGTTTTTGTTTTCTATATACGGTTTCTATACTAATATTTAGTGCACTCCTTGTTGTTGCTCGCGATATGCATATATACATACATATATGTATGTCTTTCTGTATATTAATGTGCATTGTACTGCAACTCAGCTGCAGCGACACAGCCACCGAAATAGGACAGGGGCACTTGTAGCACATGGATATTTTGTTATGGAAGCTCACTTCATGTAGTCATAATGTGCAAAAAAAACCGTTATACACAAAAGAATATGCATGCACTTTGATTTATATATAATTTTCCTAGGCAACTTTGGGGTTGAGAAACAAAATGCGTGCTTACAAAGTTATTTGGAGGAAAAAAATTAAAAACAGATTTTCTTAAGGATACAAGAAATACTCCATTGTGATCAGGAAACCTGGCTCCTAGATATTCCTGTCGAAGTAGAGATCCTACTCATCTCGATCACATCGAAAGCGACCTTTGGGAGAGCTTAAGTATTATCTTTGGAGATCATTTAAGACTGCAAAATGATCTTCAGCGCTCTATGTACCAAGAACCTACCTAAGCTCTGTACTTAACGAGAGGCATTTCAACATTTTGCAACCCTTAGCTGGTGAATTTCGTATCTAAGGAAGTGGTAAATGTGCCAAATATCTAGCAGAGGCAGACGTTCTTAGGCCTAAAAAAACTGTTCAGTCACCTATTCCCCGGAAGGATGCTCTAATAACGAACATAAACGTTTTCATTCACACTTGCTAAGTCTTTTTGCAATAAAAAACCCCTTCAGTTGATCATAATTGATGTTCATGCCGAGTGTCCCATAAACCTGGGCATCCTCAAGTAAGAAATGTAGAGCTTTTCGATGTTTCCTAGTGTGAGATCTCGATATATATTTATGTATTTGCAGATATTTCGCGTAGTAGCAGATCTTATGTGTTGTGGCTCTTCGTGTGCTTTTTGGAACTTGTTGATCGCTCTCCATATAAACATTTGAAGGAACGTCTAATGGGCGAGAGCAACTTCATTCACAGCGGACACAAGATAGATATTTCCTCATACAGACAGACAGTAGATATCGTTCCGAATATAACGAGGTTCGCATAACGCGAAACTCTCGCAATAAGTCAAGCTCTGTAATGTGGATGATTAAAGGATCGCAGGCATGGGCACCTAGCTCTGTCCAAGACAAGGCAATGGCATTCATGTCAATGTGTTCTTTGGCGAAAAATATTGTATTAACTTGATCATGTTTCCCTCTATACATATACCTGAGCCCATGCTCTGTTTGGCTATCTTCTAAAGATATCGCCATAAGAAGTGTGGTTGTTGTTGTTGTAGCGGCTCACAAGACCAGCTTATGTATAGGCTATTTAGTTTAGGTCACCGAGGTTATTTGACAGGAGGTGCAGGAAACAAGCTTTTTGACGGGTTCGCATCAGAGGGAGTGGGGGCATGTAAAAAGGTGATTAGTGTCGTGCGGTGACTCATTACTTGTGGGACACACTTTGGATATGTTGGGGTCGAGTCTGGATAAGTAGGAGTTTAATCTGGTACAATATCCAGACCAAAGTTGCGCCACCATAAGCAATCAATAGCATCGCTTAAGTAAGTCATTTCACGGTTTGGTATTTCGATTTCCGAGTCTATTGGCTTCATGAGCTTTAGTCTTTCAATCGCCAGAGCGAATGACTTAAATGTTAGGACTATCTGAGTTGACATCGGTAAAGCTAACTTACCACTTATTCAGTCGGCAAGGCGTGGAACATTCCAGCAGACACCAGGCACATTACGAAGGAAGTAATCGACTCTCAGGACTCTATATAGCATGATAGAACTGCACCGTATACCAACAAAGCCTAAACTCCTTGCTCGTAATAGTAGTTCTCGGAATCCAAGTACCACCGATAGCAGGTCCTGGCCTCAAGTTGTACCGTGAAACCCAAATAATACTGTTACAAATAAAGTCTCTTCCCTTCATCTGTTTCGAATCAGTTGTTGTTGTTTTTTAAGCCGCAAAGGTATTTCCCAAGGTGGTTGCGGAAGTGACAACAGTCTTCGTTCGGATAAATATTCATGTCGTTCAGGCATAAAGACACGATGTTGCAGAATTTGAATCGCCTCTTACGATTACGGGTTCAAGAATTTACCCGCGGTAAGGCATGCCGGTCGTAAAAGGAGACTAAAATCCAATTGTTCCCGCGACCGAAACGACTCGGATTTTTATCCGGCCAAGGACTGTCACTCCTGCAACATTCACCAAAAAATACTTTGGGGAATATTTTTGCAACAACAACAACAACAGCAGCCATAACTTACCACAGGTAAATTTTTGAACCCTTAACCAGCAGGGTTGTGTCCGAACCCTTGGAAAAGCACATTTCCTGAACTTCCCGTGAGAGAACCTCGATTACTATTTAGACTGCCTTCAGGCGGGGTTAACTTATCGCTACAACAAGAACAATAACAACTCCATCAGCGCATAGTTTTTTACTGGTTTGGACCGCCGGTAAGGAGGCCTGGGTGGTCTCTTCAATTCGATTAGTAAGTGATTCAAAATTCTTGTGTACAATAAAACAAACTCTTTTTTTTTAATTTTCTACAAACTATATTACAATTTTCATTTATTTTCAATAATAACATTTGAGCAAAAATGTGAGGTTAGGAAGAGTCTAAAGAATTTTATTATACAATTTTATGCATTTAACAATTAATATCAATCAATTTTACTTGAGGGGAAATTCATATTAAAATTTTTAGGTTAGGAAATTTTTGATTGTGTTTTAGGTTAGGTAATATTGACTGTGAGGAATTTTTGATTGCAATTTTTAAGTTAGTACAATTTTGATCGGAAGAAACTCTTGATTGTGGGTTTTAGGTTAGGGAATTTTTGATGGAGAGAAAAGATGGATGGCTAGAAAATATTGTTTGTAGGAACATTTTGATTACAAGTTTGAGGTTAGTTTAATATTGATTGGAAGAAAATTTTGATTGATTGTTTTAGGTTAGGAAATTTTTGATGGAGAGAAAGTTCAGATTGTGTGTTTTAGGTTAGGAAAGAATGTTTTGATTGTGTGTTTTAGGTTAGAATTTATTAATTGTGGTTAAATTTTGATTACAATTTTTAGGTTAATAAGTTTTGATTGTATGTTTTATGAAATTTTTGAGGCAGAAAATATTTTGATTGTGTATTTTAGGTTAGAAAAAATTTTTTGTGGGAGATTTAAAGTTTTGATTGCGTGTTTTAGGTTAGGAAGTTTCTGATTTTGCTGGATTTTTAGGTTAGCATAATTTAATGGCAATTTTTTACACTTAGCTAGTCACAAATTATTCGATTTTTTTCTTTTCAAGTATTCATACATATGTTTGTAGAAAGCATTTTATGTACAATAAATTTATTATTTAATTTTCAATTTTCGTTATATATTTCTTTTTCATTTTTAAATAATTTTTGATTTGTTGATTTTTTAGGTTTTTTTATTTAAGCATATTCAATTAAAGGACACTTGTTTAATTTAGACATATATATATATTTAAATATATGTATATATGTACATTGGTATGTATCTATGTATATGTATATGTATGCCTTTTAAGACTTTTTCCATTAATTTTTGTGTTTTTAAATTCCTTTTAATTGAACTGCAGTAAAAAAAATTGAAATTTCGCTTATACCAATAATGAGCTTTTTTGGAATTTCATTTAAATTTTGATAAAGTCGCTTTTTAACTTTAGCTTTTTAATAAAATAAATGCAATGCTCAGATCAGACTTTTTAGTGCCAATAAAAGTTTTTTTTAATTATTTTAATAATATTTTATATAAGATTATTACCAATAAATGTTTGAGTTTAAACCGATATTCATATACATATGTACATATGTACAGTATATGCATATAATTGAGAACATTTGAGATTTTTTTCTACCAAATATCAATATTAAAACGAAAAGAAAAATATTTAAATAGACTAAAGGCGCATACAAATTTTGATAAGCGCTTGATTCAATAGAAATTATAGGAAACAAGTTTCGGTAAATTAAATAATTAATATTACTAAGGTTACTTAGAGACAATAACAAAATATAATAACAACAATAAAGTGTAATAATTATTAAATAAAACAATATTAAAGTGAATGCAATAATAATTAAATAAATAAAAAAAAATAATTAAAAATAAAAATAAACATTTGCAGAGCAATAAATTAATAGCTTAACTAAACAACAACAACAAGAGTACTATTATTGCCGCCACAACGAGCACATGTTGTTGCTGTCAATTTATTTTTATTTATTTTTTTTTTTTAATTTTCTTTTTATTTTTTTTTGTTTCTCCCTGCACATCGCAGCTCAGTACTTGGTCTCATACGACAACAAATCGGCTTGGCCTTGTTTATCGCGTGTCGCATGATATGCCTCACGCTCCTTGTCGGGGAATTTCGTTGGTAAATTAGGTGAATGCAAATTGACCTTCGCATCGAAACGCATACCGGCCACTTCCACCTCATAATGACCTGATAGTATGTAATCATTGGTAACGGGCAACTCAGTGCCATCTTCAGCGAAATTGCGAACAAAACCGAGACAAACTTGCTTCTTAAAGGTGAAACCATAGCCGGTGGTCGTGGTCATACCGACATATTTACCATCACGATAGATGGGTTCACCACCCCAACACCATAGATCCACCTCATGATCATGATCGTTGAGCAACAACTGCACATACATGCGTTTAACGCCCTCCTCACGTTGTTTGAGCAACGCATCGCGGCCAATGAAGTTAATTGGTTTCTATATATATATATATATATGTATGTATATGTGTGTATGGAAAACGTGGAAGGTAATCAAGCAAAAAAAAAAAAAAAAAAAAAATAAAATAAAATGTATTTGATATAAATATTTTAGCTACGCACATTCAATTTAACACGCCAGCTGCGTCCACACTCCAATGGTGTTGTAAATGTATTTAAATCCTGTCCCCAGAAAGCGTAGAATTTCTCAATTCGTAGGGTGCGTGTGGCATAGTAACCTTTGTTGGAAAATTGATAGATAATTACAGTTTAACATATATGTACATACATATGCATCTCCACCTACCAGCATGATGTATGCCGAACTTCTGTCCCGCTTGATACAGACGCGTATACACATGCAATGCAAACTCATTTGGTATATACAAAACGTAACCCAATTCGCCGGTGTGCGTTATATTTAGCACGCGTACGCCATTAGCCAAGCCAACGTCGAGTTCCTTAAAAGAAAAAATTAGTTAAAATTTATTTTTATAAATCCATCAAACAAGGGAAAAACTTTACTTTATATGTGAAAAATGGAAAATTCTTTGGCGTCAAATCTGTATCGGTCAATTCGGAGAGTAAAATGCGTGTATATGGACCCAGTATGCATATGGCGGTATACATCGATGTCACATCAGCGACATTAACACCAGATCTCAAATGATTTGGCATATGTTTGCGTATCCAGGTGATGGAACGCGTCTGTTGCACTGTTGGCGCAATCATCATATAACTGTAAAGAAGGTAGATGGAGGGGAAACAAATAAATTTTGTACAATTTTACTCTGCTCGGTTTTAGTGCTCACTGCCGCTCTGATAGACGCGCTATTGAACAATCATTCTCATAGCCGCCAAAATGGTTCTGCATGCCAGTGTGTATAATAGAACCCACCGGCACATCGACATCGTTGGAACATAGATATTGTAGTAAATCGACAACTTCATGTTCCTTCGACCATAGATCATATTTGGTAAACGAACTATAGTCGGCGATGCCGATACGCTCACGACAGGCATTGTACTCGTTGGCGACATGATCGAACCAGGGCGGTTTCCCGAAGGTTTTCGTTTCGGCGGTGCGAAAGCTTGTGATGCCAAATTCATCTGTTCAATGTAAATTTTATTTTTAAATCATTTTAACATTGCAAACACAAATGCAATAAAGAGAACTCACCCCTCTTGTCACTCGGATCGAAATAATTCGGTCGCTCATAACCCATAGTTTGACCGAAGACCGCGCCCGCTTCTTTCAGCGCTGGATAGATAGGCGACATACGCAAGTTGCGCCCAGTTTTGAATTCATGGAACGGATAATTGATTTCAAAGTGTTTGCCCGGTACCTCCTTGCAGCGATCACGCAAAAATTTGCGATTATTATGCAAGCCCAGAAAGCGGCTGATGTCCAAAATGTGCAGATCCAAGAATGTTTGACCCTTTACTATCAAATCGGCAATTGCACGACCAATGCCACCAGCTGCTGAGACGCCTATAGTTTTCATGCCAGCCGAAACATAGTAGTTTTGTATTTCCGGCGCCTCACCCAAAATCCATTTGCAATCGGGCGAAAACGCTTCTAGAGAGTTGGTTAAGCGATCGAGTAGTGAAGACTTTAGTAACGGCACGCGGTGCAGTAGTTCATCGAGTAGGCTGTGAAAATGATCCCAGTCTGGCGGCAGCTCGCGTTCTTTCTGCGACAACGGTATGATGCCATCTTCGTAGAGCATTTTCGCTTCACGCTCAAAACCGCCTTAAAATGAGTTTAAATTAATTTAGCCTATAGTAGAAATAACACTTTAACACTCACCTGCCAGTATGCGTCCATTTTTTTCCCGAAAGTACACGCCACCATCGTAGTCGCGCACAAATGGCGTCATTGGATCCAGCCCCTCAATTGGTTTTGTGTGCAAATAATGATGTTCTACCGCTTTTAGTGGCACTTTTACTTGCGGGGTTGATAGCGTACCCACACCACGCGCCCAAAAGCCGGTACAATTGACAAAGTAATCGCAGAGCACATCACCCGCTGTCGTTTCAATGCGACTCACTTTACCGTGCGCACTATTGATTTTTAGTACAGCGCATTTCTCAACCACTTGCACACCCAAACGTTGCGCCTCACCGATGAAAGCAGTGCAAACCTCATGTGGATCACATACACCATCTTCAGGTATCCACAAACCACCAGCTAGATCGCTTGTCTCAATCAAAGGACAACGTTCTTTGCATTGCTCTGGCGTGAGTACCTCACAATTGATGCCCCAAGCGCGACCTTGCGAGCGCATGCGATGGAAAGCGGTCATACGATCGAAAGTGCGTGCCAAATTCAAGCTACCGACCGGCTGCCAACCTGTCGACAGTCCCTGCGCCGCCAGCGATTTAATCAGATCAATTGAGTATTCGGCCAATTTTAACTCTGTATAGCTGGGTTCAAAGCGCCCCGCCAAACCGCTAGCGGCCCATGGATTGCCGCCACCAACTTTATCTTGTTCGATTAGAAGTGTATCTTTGCCCCAGCCTTGCAGCGCTAGATGATAGGCAAGTGATGCACCTACTGTGCCACCGCCGCATATAACAACGCGCGCCTGTTCCGGCAGCTTGACCATGGCTGCAGCACTATCCGGCTCGTGTGGCTTGAATTTACGCTTTCGTAGCACATTCGCTTGCGGTTGTTCACCTGTTTCCGTTTTTTGCTGTAGCGCACATATGTTGGTGATGTGAAATGATCGCGTACCAAATTGTTGTTGGAAACGCAGAAAATCTTGTAATTTAGTGGTGATGATGGCACCACTGCGTAGACGTAGCATTATTAGTACTTTGTTTGTTGCTCGGTGGGTTCCTTCCTAATTTGCACAATGCAATTAAATAGCGTATATTTGCTCTCCAATCATCAAATGTAAATTGTTATTGTCTTCACACAGCACTATTTATAGTTTTAAACAATTACAAACTAGTTTTCGATTAGTTTTCTTCACTAAATTATAGACAAGTGCAAGACGGTACAACTTTTTTTGTGAAAAATTGTCGTTTGTCTTTCGTTTGATTATTACTAAAAATATAGCAAACTCCAATCAGCTGTTACACAAACAAACTGTTTTTGACAGAAAAACAATAACAGAGAGCAATAAAAACAATGGCGAGGAAATTGTTTTGATGCCGGCATAGCGAGGCTGCCAGATGTAATGAGACATTAAAACAAGTTTGAAAATTTGCAGTGGTTCTGAAAACGATCGGAATTGGAAACGCAACGATTTGAAACAGGATGGCTACCTACAGGCTTTAAACACCTTTCGCAGTAAATCTGTAAGCATCTTTGTTAAATCCATTCCCTTAAAAGGTTTGCTCGATTTCACCACCACCCATAGCGAACGGAAATCTTACGATTTCCCACGAGACGCACGTAATACTGTAGTAGTCATATGAAGCTCCTACTTATCCAGACCTGAAGATCTTAACATTTGTCCCGTATACCATTGTGTCTCTCACAGCATTCACCACCCTTACCTTGCACACTACTTTTCAAACTATCCTTTCCATTGGTCCGAATACATTGAATATCACAATTCCTGTAGCTTCCGTTAAACGATTTATACTAGCGATTCTTGCTATTAGGAGGAGTTGAGCAAGGCTCTTCAACAATCTTTCGCTCAAAATTTTTTTATATGTCAAAATATAGAACATGAAGTTTAATAAATTTAATTTAATACGAATAAATATTGTCATAAATTAAATTCAATAGAGTTTTAGGTTATAATATTACAATTCCGAGGGGATTTAGGGATTTATTTATTCTTTATTAACGCCACTTTTCCACATTTGTATTGTTGGGTGGCAACACAGATTTCTTTTCAAACAGCTGATGTATGGAACAGCTGTATAATACAGAGCTTGTCAAACTGTATGAAAATTTCAAAAGTTTGGCAAATGTAATTTTTTCATAACAAAACTAATTACATATACATATATTAAAAGACAATGAAACTGCATCAACTAACTAATTGTACAAAAACAATATTGCTTTGTCTAAATTTGAGCAAAGCAGGGCAACATCGACAAATAAGTATCGCCAAATGTCTAGGAAGATCACTAGACCCAGTGTTGGAACAGAACAAAAGTGCACCAGTGGGTGAGTACTAATTACTAACTAAACTATTTATTTAACCAGGTGGCCTTTATTGCAGCTGATGCCACCGCACATTTTGAATTCCATGGCGATTGGCCGGTGGCGGAAAAACAGAGCTTCCTAAAGGATATGCGCTTGCATACAAACTTCGTAAGCCATGAAGAAGAAAATAAATTAATTGAGGAAATTGAGCCCTATATGAAACGTTTACACTATGAAGATGCACATTGGGATGATGTAATGTATGCGTGAATATCATGATTGTGCATACTATAAATATATTTTATTAAATACTATTTGTAGGCTATACATGGATTTCGCGAAACGGAACGTAAACAATGGTATCCACACAATCGCGCGGTACTCGAGCGTGTACGACAAATAGCTTTCGATGGTGAGATTATGCCCTATGTGCATATACTGGATTTGGCGGCAGCGGGTGTTATCAAACCACATGTGGATAGTACAAGGGTATAAGATTGTTCAATTGATTTATAAAATATTAAAATTTCTTATTTTCAATTTAACCATAAAATTTCAGTATTGTGGCAATACAATAGCCGGTATTAGCTTGCTGAGCGACAGCGTTATGCGTTTGGTACGTGTCGACGAACGTAAATATCAACAAGGTCAGCCTGTGGAAGCGCCTGCGGGTGCAAGTGAGAATAACACTGCCGCTTCAGTTGCGCAAAATGCAGCAGAGCCGAACGATGCATATCGCAATCAACCTGTTACGACTTTAGAAAATAACTTCTACGTCGACGTGCTGTTGCGTCGTCGGTCGATGTACATAATGAGGTGTGTATTCCAAATAAATTAGATTTTTACTCTTATTATTAGTTTTTTTCTCACACTTCCAGCCATACTTCACGCTACAATTTTTCGCATGAAATACTGGCGAACGATGTGTCTTCCTTTCGCGGGCAACACATTAAAAAGGATCGTCGTATCTCGATTATATGTCGAAATGAGCCGTAACAAATGGACGGCTTATGCTAAAATATTCTTTGCATTAGCTTTAAATATTTTAAATATTGTGAATAAACTATAGTTGGCAGAAGTTCTGTATTTTCTGTAGATAAATAGAATGTTTCAGTTATTTTAAAAATATACAGTTACAAATGAAACACTATGTATTATTTTTAAAATTTTTATTAATAATTCACTCTTTATAATTTTCTCATCGCTATTTTTCGCACTGAAAACTAAATAACTATGTTTAGTTGACATTTTGTTTATATAATGTTTCTTCAGTTTACACTTGTACACTGCTGTATTAAATTGCTACTAGTTGTATGTATGTATATTTATTTGTAAATGTACACTGTTCATATAGTATACAATTTGGTATTATTGTTTTTGGTTTGTTCTCAAAACCTTTTGTAAACAAGTTTTTATATGTTTAAATTTCATATATTTTATGAGATATTTGTTGTAATTGTTCAACATATTTAACAGTTTTTAGCATTTTTTACATTTTTTAGTAATTAGTTTTTATATTTTAGAGTTGCCAATTTATTTAGTATTTTTTTAATGACGGATGAATGATTTTTTGAAATTACATAATTTATTAAAATGAATATAGTTTTTTGTTTCTATTACTGTAACAACTTAATGTTTTCAAAAGTTGGCAACTCGTAAAAATTACTTTTTACTTTATTTTACATATTAAATGCATTCGAAATACTTGTCAGTGTATATGAAGTTCAATTCATTGTATTGTTGTTGTCATTTTATTGGATTTTCGCTTGCATTTTTTAATTGCTTTATTTGTTTTTATTTTTCCTAAAATATTATATTTAATTTAATTTGTGGTAACACTAGCAACGTAATATTTAATTTGCTACGAATTTCATGCATTTTTTTAAATTTATAACTTTCGCTTGATTACTGGTAATTAATGCCATATTTTTGTGATTATAATTAACGAATCTTTACAAGTTAAATATAACAGTTGCTACAGTGGTAAATCAATTTCGTCACTTAGCATTTTACTAATCATTAGCCATTTTTGAAAATTATTTCTGTTGTTTGCAAATGATTTTTGCTTTGCAATTCATAATTTATTGTTTTAAATGTTAAATCTATTGATCTGTATTGTTTATTTTTAGAGTGGCTTCATAATAAGCTCATAATTTCAAATTCTACCTCAAATTTATTTCTAATTTAATTTATTTATTACTATTTAATGTTTATTTCTCTTTTAAATGAACGTACTTAAAAATTGGATTGGGAATCTCTCAGTTCAGGAACACTGCAAGAATATTAAGAAGGAGAAAATTTCTGCATAATTGAAGAAAGAGGAAATAAATTAAGTTATGCTCCTAAAAAATACCATATTGAAGTATGTATAGTAACATTTTACTTGATAGTTAAAAATACTCTAGAAAATCAGAAGTGGAATATCAAATTTTCATTAAAAATTTAGCACACATCAACACTGTTTCTTGCACTTTCCACCTAGACGATTACCTAACCCGTAGTGACATTATAAAAATACTACAACAGCTTTTGTACTGGGTATTAATAAGAATTTACTTTGAATTTAACTAAAGAGGTGCGAGAAAATCAGAAATGGCATATCAATCATTATCATGATATAAATTAAGTTTAGTACTCATTCTGTTTCTTTCGCTTTCAACCCCGAACGATTATTTTACGTGTAGCGGCTTAAGAAAAATTTCAATAACATTCGGGTAGCGTATGCCTAAAAATTTGCCAGAAATTTAGCCATAGAGGCTTAAGAAAATCAGAAGTGGAATATAAAATTTTCTTTAAATAAATACGAAAATGTATGGTTTATCATCTCGGTTTATACTCGCTGTTATGGTAAAATCTTTAATCAGCCTCATGTAGGTGGTTGTGCTGCATATCCTTTTTCCCTTACATAGGCAGTGGTACAACTAGACCATTTTCTTTTAAGAAGTTATAATAGTAATATTTAGTAAGTTTAGTTTCTTTCCTGTGTTATTAAATTTAAATTAAACTATCTCTGAAGAAATAGGTGTGTCTACGGAATTTAACTCAATTTTGTATCAATGGCTTTTTTATGTTTTTATTATAAGTATTTATTTTTCCTTTATGTATTTTATCAATTCTCTAAACTTAACAATTAATTCTATTACGAACTTCATTTTTTATTTTTAAGTAAACATTTTATGTAACATATATGTTAATATGTATGTTTTCAATAGCAAATGTCACTAAATTTTATAACTATGACTTTTTCTTTGTTTCTCTTTTTTTTGTTTAATTAATTTTTCTATATTTAACAACTTAAAATTTGTTCAAAGTAGTTAGTGTAAGGGTTGAGAGAAAGTCACTTAAGGTAATTGTTTGCTAAGTTTGAAAAAGTGGGTCGGTTTGTGTACATACATATATATATATATATATATATATTAGTAGAGTAGAGTTCCGTGTTTTTGTGTAGAAAGGCACAGAAGAAATTATGTTTACCTCATTTGTGTTTAATTTTATATTAATTTATTTTGCTAAACTACTTTCATAGCAAAAGTATTAGAGCTCGACGATCAACGTGAGCAAGTCACAGCTTGAAATTTGTGGTTTTGTATATTTGATTTTTTTTTTTTAGAAAATAAGGAGTCTAAATATATGTACAATAAAGCAAAGTTTTTTTTTTGAAATTATAGTAATCTTCAAATAGTAGTAATCTTGAATGTACTGAAATGTTTTTCAAAGCAAAGTGTGTTTGCGGTTTATCTCTTTGAAGTTTTGATTTTTGAAAGTTCTTGCTAAGAATAATACTAAAATAAATTAATAGTTTGGTCTCGTGTATGCACACCTTAATCACTTATCGATTTATCGCTTTACCAACAACTGACAAAAACTGTTGGCATTCAGAAGCGCACATTTTTTTTGGAGCAAGTCAGTGAAGCTGCGGAAAAAACACAATTTAATTAAAAGTTTCGAAAGTGATTATTAGATTTGATATTAGATTTCAGAGGAAAACTTAAAATGGTATAAATTTCAGTAAAATTCTGCCAATTTTTTTAAACTTAATACCTAACCGCGTTGATTTGTTATAATTATTTGCTGTCTATGTCAACGTAAAACAATTATGTTAATTGCTAATTAATCTAAGATGTACATACATACATAGGTTTTCTTTAACATTATATGAAACGTTTTTAATTTTGAAACTTTTTTGTTTAATAATTTTACAATTTCTAATTCGTTGAATAGTAAGCTGTATATAGTTAACGGTATCTATTTGTAGGTTTTACAGTTGTATACATAGCTCATTTTATTTTTAATATTTTGACTACATTAAATTTTTTAGCTTATACAAAGTTAGTGTCTTAAAGTTTACAAACATGCGGTAAAAAGTATTATTTTGTTATTATATTATTATTTATTAGCTACCCATTGTTAGATTTTATTTAATGTGTTAAACACATACTAGGCTAAATATTTTGTTTTTGAAAAGTTTTCAGAAAAAGGCAATAGTAAGTTTGTATATAAAGATTCCATACATATTTTCTTGAACATATGCCGAAAATTCGCTACATTTCTATTTGTTTACATTTTCAATATTTATTAGTTAATTTACACACATACACACATTTACTCATTTTGTATAGTTGAATATCTACATTAGTATGCAACTCTTTGTTTGTATGTATATTAGTGTGTTATGTATACAGTTTTTTTTTTCTTAAAGAATAACTTAAGTTACTTAAATTACCTTATATCTAATGTTTTTATTTTTAGTTATGTGTTAGAAGTGATGAGAAGAAAGTCCAGTACAAGTCCACCTGTACTGACGTGGACTTCTACTGTTTACTTTTTTCCCATTGCTTCTAGTGAATTAATGAAATGACATTGATTTAATTATTTAAAACTAAGTATAAAGTTATAACAAGTCTATGTAAACGTTCAATAAGAGTATTTTCGGAAAATTTCTTTGCAGTAAATTTGGCAGCACTTATGCCAACTGTAAAAATGCAATAATAAAGTTTAATGTATTCACAACTGTTTTTTTTTTCACTCGAGAAAATAAAAGCAATAAAAAGAAAAAATCGTAGAAACTAAATAAATTTGTGTCATGAAATATGCGCCCTAAGGCAATTAGTGTGTTGTGCAAGTTAAAGCTACAAGTGAGCTTTTATAGACAACATAATAAGAGATGAAAGTACAAAATGTAATGTAGGAATACCAACGGAGGCCGATGAATATAGAAGAAGAAATTGTGTGCTGCTGAAAAATCATAAACTTACATGTAAATATTAAAAAAACAAAATAAATAAAAAAAAAACGGTATGAAAGGATTGTCATTTGTCGAAATCAAAATTTTATTCGAATATACGCCGTATAACAATTAACAAATATTAATTTTCCAACTCTTCTTTTTTTACGTACTTCACTTATTGTTAATATATTTACACTTTTTTCTTTGGCTATGAACAGTTTTATATGCTTCGTTTGAATAACTAAATTTTGCTGAATTTTCAGAAATTGGCGTATAACAAGTTTTATTTTACAAAGTTTGTCTGAAAATTTTATTTAAATATTTTTGTTTACTTTTTTAAATGTGGATAATATTAATAGTAGATTTTGGAACATTTTTGCCTTTTTCCTTTTTTAGTTCTTACTTTTGTTCATATGTATGTATGTAGATGAGGAAGACATTTCAGGGAGAAAAATGTATGCGCTTTTTTGTTTATTTTTTTAATTATCTTCGTTTTATTATAATATTTGCAACATTTCTGTATGTTTTTTTTTTGTAATATTTTCAAATACTTTACAGCACTCTCGAGTGCTTAAACAGTAATAATTTCTATAATCGTTTTTTTTTTCGCTTAGCCCTAATATTGCATACATATATGCATATGTATAATACAATCCTGTAATGCGTTTCGTTGACAACAACCGCACTTATTGTTTACTACATACACACACATACAAACTTATTAAGTTAATAAAATAAATTTAATATTTAGTAAAAGTAAAGTTTTAACTTTGTCTGTGCGGCAATGAATTCTTTAACATAACTGTTCTCATATATTTTTGCTACATATTTTCCTTTGAATGCTAACTAAACTTAAATCTAAACACAAATTTTTCACTACTTTCTTTTTGGTATCGTAATTTATACGCTTTTTGCAACATTAGTTTAGGAAGATTATGCGCTTAAATATCTCTTAACTAATAGCAATCGATAATCATAATCGATAAATTGTCGCTAATTGAACTAGTGGAACAAATCTATAGCAGCAACACGTGTTTGTTTATAAGTTTTCATACATATATTCTTTAAACGCATTTAATAATCAATTTACACGCATACATTTGTAAATCATTAATTTTAATTTTTTGGCTACGTATGTATATACATATATATTATTAATTTTCTCTACTTCATTGAGCTATGATTTTTAATCAATTAGTTTTTCTTCTTTCTTTTTACAGCTAATCACAGAGTTGATGATTTTTAGAGACATATTTTTAACAGTTTGTTGTTTTTTTTCAGTGTTGCATGCTCACACCTACTTATTGAATATTATTTTTTATGAATTTTACGTGTTAAACATTCATGCTAACAGTTGTACACATATTTATATATATATTTAGTTTAAATACTCTTAACATTACTGTAATTTATTTATTTATTTTTATTATAATTTTGCACGAGCTCTGCTTTTCTTCAATAGTATTTCATATTTGTGAATAGATCTCTTAGTTTTAGTGCTATATTACTCTCAGTTAGCAGTGTAGCTAAGAAAATTCCCTAAAAGTTGGCACATGTCCTTGATCGTAGCTACAGAGCTTTCTTTGTTTATGGAAAAGTAGAAAAAGTATTTTTATATTACTTTGACATCTTTGTGACTCACAAGTTAACGAAACATGTTAGTAGTGAAGCGGCGTTGTGGTGAAAAAAAAACGAAATAGAAGCATTTGAGAAAAGTAGTGAAAATAGTGATATATATAAGAAAAAAATTGGTAATTAAAAGCACGAAAGTACATTTAAGTCAATTGTACAGTTTCTAATCATTCAAAAGTGGAATACTTTGATAGTGATTTATAAAAGAAAAGAAAAATCGAAGAGTTAAAGCCCGAAACTACGTAATATACTTTTTCATAACTTAGAAGTGGAATAATTTGAAGTCGTTTTTATAAATGATCAACAGATTGTAAGATAATAAACTTTAGTCCGTGAGCAAATTATAATTTGAAATAAAGTGAATGTCAGCATTATTTAAAAAAAAAATTTACTCAAAGTGAATTCATGTCCGAAACACATTCGGTATAATATAAAAGAAGACATCAGATGCTAACTTTGCTATCTATCTGAGCCGACTAGCATTCCTTTGTCGAGTACATATATGAAATACGGAATACTTAACCCCAATTAGTACTCTCGTTTATTTATACCGGAGTCCGAAATCCTTTACAGGATTAGTTTTTACATATTTATATTATTTATTGTAACTTCTAACTCTATATATATAAATATGTACTAAAATTCCATTTATATAGTACTTATACATACATATGTAGATCTACTTTTATATATACACATCTTTATTCTTTTGTATACTATTTACTAGCTAGCTTATTTTTAATATTTAATTCCTTTTAGCCATCAGTGGAGGAGTGCGGTGATTTCACCAATAACAACTCCTTATAGTCTGAATCCTCATTGCCACTATTGTCACGCTGATCCATGCGTCTGCGTTCCGATATTATACGCATTATATCGGCCGAGTCAGATTTGCTTAAAGCAATCTGTTCCCCGGCGCTAACAGCAGCAGCTGCAGCAGCGCCATTGACATTGGCAGTTGTAGTTCGATTATTAGCACCGTTAGATGTATTATTATTTATAAGCTTGCCATTATTACCATGCCCATTGCTATTGCCACTGTCAGTAGCTATGATGCCACTACTGGTAGTTGTTGCATTGCCATCACAGCTATTCTCGGCGACAATTGGCAATAGCAATGTATTCTCATCCATATCGGGATCTTCATCGAGTGCTTGTTGTTTGAATAGTTGTTTTGTACTACCGCTACGACTACGTGGTGGCATGCTACGCGGCACAGACAATAATCCGCCACTATTACCGCGTCCGCTACTCAGTCCACCACTGGTCTGTGCGGCTTGATCGGTGGATAATGAGCGTCCGTAAACACGACGCGGCGCTGTTGCACTCGCCAAGGCGCCACTTAATGGTAGAGCCGCTGTTGCGGCAGTTGTTGCTAGGGGCGCCGTTATCGGTGTTGTGATCTTTTCACTAATTACACTTGCACTGACAATGCTTAACGCATCAGAAGCACCGCTACTGCGCGCTGTTGCATTTGCCGTCGCTGCTACGTCTTCGCTGCGTATGCTGCGTACATCGTATGTGGACGAGGGGCTACCGGCGCCATCCGACTCTAAGCTTTCGAATATCGTGCCACGCCGAAAATCGATGCTATCGCCACCCCAGGGTAGCGAATCGCAACTCATGCGTTTCGATTCGAGCGTGCCTCGGCGTATGGCCTGCTCATCGAGAGAGCGCTCTTTGGCGAGCAGACCGCGTTTACTACGGAACGCGGTCGAACTACGGCGACCACGTCGTCCCAGCGCACCCGCTGTCGGTTGAAGTTGGAGTTTTGTATCGAAGTTGTTCTCCGCAGCCGTTGTGTTAAGGCGCGCATTAAGCGCTTGCGTTGCACCAACACTGCCGCCACCACCAGAAACACCAACAGCAGCACCAACACCAATACCTACACCTTGTGCGGTGCCAATTTGTGTGCCGCGTCCCAGTTCGGCCAAACCAATGCTATTTGGTTGATTGAAATATTGCACAGTTTGGCGGCGGCCACCAATACCAGTGGCACTTACACCTACACCAATACCAACACCAGCACCGATGCCGCTCAGCACGCTTGGAAATTTTTTGTCCAGCGATGGCGTGCTGTAGGTAAAATTCTTCGGCAATGATTTAATCTTATTCAGCTGGCGCGCTGGTGGCGGCGGTTGCGTTTGCTGTTCCAACTGCTGACACAACTTCTGTTCGCTCTCAAACTCCTGCTCGCGCACAAGTTCACGCTCTAGCTCTACTTCCATGTCCATTTCGTCTTCCATCTGTTTGTGGCTCTCCTCGAGGTGTTTCATCAGTACAGCCACGACGACATTCACCAATACGAACTGCGCCATTAGAACGAATATCACAAAGAATATTGGAGCTATGACCCGGCTAACGCAGCAATCGCGCACGCAATCATCCGCATCATCACAGTCCTCTCGCAGTGTATCCTTCATGATGCCGTTCCAGTTGTCGCCAGTCGCTACGCGAAACAATGTGAGGAAAGCCATGCCGAAATTGGCGAAATGTGCATGTTCACCTAAGCCCTGACATGGATTCCTTTCGGAGCATTCCAGCCGACCGAACAGTTCCACGCCAAGGGCGGCGAAAATGAAGAAGAGCAAAAAGAAGAGCAGGCCCAAATTACCGACTTGAGGCAAAGCCTGCATCACCGTGTCGAGCAGCGCACGTATACCCTTGGCCATTTTGAGTAACTTCAAGACTCTCGCAATACGCAGCACACGCATCACACGTATTATCGTCGGATTAATTGGAAATTTCTGCGTACTCCAATCCTCAAGTATAATACCAAAAACCGATAACAAAACAATCCCCACATCAAGTTGATTCCATCTATCCTTCAGGTAAAGCGGCCAACCGAGCGCCAATACCTTCATGCTCGCTTCCAATATAAATACTGCCGTGAAAAAGTAATTGAACACCTTCAATGTATACACCAACACGTCTGGCATACTGTAATACTCCATAGCCATGGTGACCACATTTAAACCGATCACAGCAGCAATAGCTAAATCGAAGTATTTCGACGTAACCACATTATGGATGAACATGCGTGTTGGTGAATAATTTATATAATAAGGTGGCTCATGCATACGTCTACGTTTCTTCTCCATTTGTAATGCACGCTTGGCAGCACGTCGAATCTTCTCCTCCTTCTCTTGCTCCTCTCGGCAACGATGAAAATTCTCCACTACCACGCCGACAAACATGTTGAGTACAAAAAAGCCGACAAGCAATATGAATGCAATGAAATACAGTAGACGCCATTCGTTGTAGTTAACCCTCGGTTGGAGATCTTCACCAACTGCATCCAAACCGGTGTACATAATATTCACCCAGCCATCACGTGAACTCAATACGAATAATGACATTAACGCATTGCCAAGATCATCGAAATTATACTTGCGATTCTTCCACTCATAACCACGTGCATAGCAATCTGCCTTGGTGTTTACCCCTTTTAAATTTTCACCCTCACAATAGAAGAAGGTGCCCTTGAAGAGTTGCACGCCCAAGATGCCGAATATGATGAAAAATGTGCAGCAGATCAGCACTATGTTGCCGATGGGACGTAGGGACGATAAGAGCGTTTGCACGACTAATTTCAGACCCGGGGCGCGGTTGATCACACGCAGCGGCCGTAGGGAACGAAGTAGTCGAAACACCTACAATGAGATAATGTACAAGAATGATGATGGTTGTGAGAGGGATTGGTTGGTTGGTTGGTTGGTTGGTTGGTTGGTTGGTTGGTTGGTTGATTGATTGGCGGGTATAATGAGCGGGCGTAGTGCAAAGGAAAGGAGGTAGAGAGACGATTTCAGGAGCGTAAGCAAGGAAACAACCAATGATTGTATGTTAATGAGTAAGGTGAAGAGAGAATAAAAAAAGAAAAAAAATTAGTAAATATTTTAAATTTGTCTACAATAAGGCAACGGCTACTACGTACTAACAAGCGCGGGGTATAAAAATGCGAGGAACGAGTTAAGTTGATCACACAAATGTTTGGATTTTTTTTTTACTAAAAAAAACACATACAGACTTGTTTTTGGAAACATTCTTGGTTTGCTTTTTTCTTTTAAGCGATTAAATGGGTTTGACGGCTTACACAATCGATTATTTATCGACATATTAAATTCGACAACATATCTAGAACATTGTACGGAAATTGCAAATCATTCAGTGAACAAATTTCTATTGTCATTCAAGGCTTTAAACGCACTTTTCTAGATTTTTGAAGCTTAAAATCTGTCGAGACGGTTTTTAAATATTCATAAAGTGATCGCTTCAAACACTTTTTGATATAAAACTTTTCCATGCGTTAGCGAATTGTTGCTTAATTTTAATTACACATGAATTCTGAGATAAGCTACACGGATTACGCTCACAAAATATTTTTGAAATATCTAAGAAAGTGAAGTTTGTTGTGAAAAGTGAATTCAACAGTGAAAAAAGAAAAAAATTGTAAAAAATTGTGTTCCTTAGCCTGCAAAACCCACCTAACCTCTTAAAAACTAAAAGTCACCCTCTAGCTTTTAACCTTAAAAGCATTTTATATACAAACACATATATGTATGAAGAAAAAGGAGGAACAATAAACGTACCTACATACATACAAAAGCCATTTTCGATTGGTCAACGCTCAAGCGGATGGCAAATAGTATAACTAATATAATTTTCGCAATGCGCTACGAGATTTCCCACACAAGCAACACCGCCGTACAAGGCAACGCTATAAGTTGGCCAACTCTCATTTTTTTGCGTGCGTTTTATGTTGTGATTGAATTGTAAATTTCAAAAAAATTAATAATTATAGTAGAAAAATGCCAACTGCATTAAAGCGCCGACTTTTTTCGCCTGGAAATGTCACGCAGAGCAGAAAACTTTTAACTGCAACCGACTTTCAGCTTTATTATGCCTATGTGGGAAATTTTCAATGTTGCCGAATGTGACGAATCGAAGACGGCTTATATAAATCAGGCTTGTGTTTTTTCATTGTATTTACAACTAAAGAAATCACAAAAAAAAATTTTCTTTTCATAAGAAAAAGTGCATTAATGTTTTTGGTATTGAACTAATTTTTTTTTCATAAGAAAAAGTGCATTAATGTTTTTGGTATTGAACTAAGCGGGGAAAAACTGTTTTTTAGAATATTTAATTTATAAACTCGGTGTCGCACAGGGTTAACGTAATTTGAGCTTGAACGGGAGTGGTGAAAATATAAGATATGTAAATTTCGAAAAAGTAAATATACGGAAACGTGCAAAAAACGGAAATAATTGTTGATTCTCATCGAACTTAGTCAATTATTTTAATTTTTTTTTCAAATCGAAATGTAAAAACACCCAAATTCATATACATAAAGTTAAAACAAAGTTCGTATGCAAAAAAAGATATATATAACAAAAAGTTTACAAACAGCTGTAAGAAGTTTCAAAAATAATTAAATGTTTTGTTTTGCAATTTTTTTTTAAATTTTCAGTATGCATGAATATTAAAGCAAACATAGATTGTTTACACTCTACTTTTGAGAGGAAATCTTTAAACGGGGAGTTAAATTCCTTTTTCAGAATATTCTGAAAAAAGAAGATTTTCTAATATTTTAGCAAAACTTTGCTTAAAAAAAAGTTGGGCAACTTGAGATATTATACTTAAAAGCTCAAAACAACTTTTTAGGACAGATTTTCATTGTGAGTAGAGAACAAAGTGCTAAAATATATGTATGACATTTAGAGAGACCTTAGACCAAAATATCCTTCCGCCATAGAGAAATCTAGAAAACTTAATTTGGATTGTTTTTGGGTCGAATGGGAAACTCTACAGACATCTACTCCTGAACGCAAAATCCTCTGAGAAACTTCAAAAACGCTTATTTAAGGTTAGATTAGTACTCATAATTGCAGGAAATGTTAGTATTATCTACTTATTGAAGTCAAAAAGTCAAATAAACTAAAATATATAGCACTCAGAGTAGGCCCAGCTCATCTATTTTGGTGAAGATAGTTTTTTTGTGATTGAAAGTGCTGAGAGAGTAGTATCTCTTGAATTGAGCAGCGTTAAAAGCTTAAATACATGACACCTAGAGAGACTTTAGACCCTACATTTTGGTTTAGATATTAATTTTTTTTATTACAGAGAGATACAAAAAACTTCGTTATGACTGGTACTCGTCATTGAGAGAGCACAGAAACTTGAAGATAAGCTTCTTAAATATCCGTACTTTAAATACTACACTGCACTCTTGGAAGCTCTTAGATCATTATCCCGAGTTAACCTCAGTTTTCATTTAATCTTTACCATTTTCCATATAAAACCCCGCATAATCGCGTCAAAAGACACCACATCTATAGCCTATAAAGTTATGTGCTTTAGAAATATCTTACCCCATACTTACCCTTAAAATCCCAAATATTTTAGAGCTCGATTGGCTAAACAATGACATTAATAAATCAATAATTGATATTGTAACCAATGAGCCATCCATAATATTCCAACCGGATGTGAAATATGCATCAGATCCATAGAACATGCCAGTAGACACAACCTAGATGCGAAGGAAGATAGTAGTTAACATCATGAGTAGTTAAAGATTGTGTTGAAAAGTTAAATTTATATATGGAAGGTGCACTTTGCCCTTTCTTTTTAATCTCAAAATAAATTTTTGGTAGTTGATACGGTGCACTGACTTTTCTCTTGATACTGATGTACGGTCTCCGACCATTTCACTGTTTTTCTTTCTATCCTTTACTGAGTATCCTATGCGGTCAGATTGCTTGTAATTCGAAGTTCTTGTCGGTTCTTCTATGAGTCGGTCAGGGGAAGCGCTGTTTCGTCGCCCACATAAGTGCAGTCTTTGTCGTCCTGAAGCTCAAAGATACCCGATCTGACGCAGTCCTCTTCCCTACAATTTTACGTTGTGTCTGATAAGGAACTCAACTTTTGAATTGAACTCACATCGAGATATCATCTTCATCGCTTATGGTGTTCGATTTTTTGTTTTTTACACCTATCCAACTCCTCGTATGTTCAAACCTTCTACATCTAAAAAGACAACATCATAATCAGTTGCGCCGATCCAAAGCCACAAGGACACCCAAGACGCCAATTTTTCGTAGCTTTTAGTGCTTCCAAGCTTTTGTAGTTTCGGAACTGTACTCCCCCTAACTATGGATATTGCTCATGAGACGATCAGATTGGTTTTATTGACCAAAAAAGCATGGTCCTGAAAGATTCCGAACTGGTATCCGCTAGCGCTAACAGATAAACAGGAAAAAATCTACTCTTCGTAATGAGAACAGACCTTTGTGAGCTCGGCGTTGTGTACCAAATTGTAAGAGCTCTGGTCTCTGCTTATACTCTCCACGGTAGCTTGGTTTACTTTTTTGGTCTGATGAAAAATGTATTTGTGGCTTCCATTTGAGCTGCAAATCCCATATTATCTGCGCTCATTTTCCAAGCGCGCTTCAAAAGCCTTTCGATTCTTGAAGTTCAAGGACCATTGCGCTAATTAACAACCTTTTCGATGGCTTCTGATATCGTTTTACCTCTCAACCGGACCATTTACTCAGCAGTCAGCTTACGTATCCTCTGAGGTATTCCCTACTCCTCAGGCGCCTCACAATGAACAAAAATGAAAAGAATACCCTAAATGCAAAGCCACAAAGATCACAAATACTCGAGCAGTAAATACCAAATTTTCAACATGCCGGCCATAAAGAGCAATACAGCACAGCTGGAAAACATTGTAAACAGCAGCTAAAAGTTTAGCTCCTTGAAACCATATATACATGCTGTGCTACGTAACAACAACCGTTAGTTACCGAAAATGTTACCGTTATTTCGCTATTAAAGAAGAGCACACACTGTGGCTTAACCAAGTAGGCTGAACAAAAGTAGACCGATGCACAAATGAACTTGTACCACAAACAACAACTTGCCATTTAGGTAAGCTCCATATAGACAGTGCTCTCCACAGTACATATATTTTCCTTAGAGATGCGAGTTTGAATCGAATTTTCTCAAAATATGCTTTACAGGCAAGTAGTTCGAGTTCGGGTGAAGTAAAATAAAATGAAAGTTTCGACCCTTCGCAGTAGAAGACTAACTAATCGCGCCGCGCCATGGATACCTCGATCGCAGCCAGCAATAGGACGCTCTTCCTGGTACGGATTTTGTGGAAACCGACTTCGAAGTTGATCTTCCCTAACCGAAATCGAAGAACCGTCACATCTCTCGTAATGAATGCCTGCAAAATGTCTGCGAGTCAGTATCATTGGCCACGGTGAAAGCGAGCTTTTGCTACTTACCTGTGCATGTGCATACTTGGTTTTATTAAAGGCTGTACTTACCTTAATGAGCATTTCCACTGTAAAAATGGCTGTGAACACATTATTGGCTGTGGCAAGGAATAAACGTTCGTTACTTGTTGGCGGTATATTTGGTCGTTCCATAGCCAAGGTAATACAATTGAGTGCGATAAACAGCAGGACAACATTGTCGAACCATTTCTGATTAACAAACCACGAACAGAGCTCACGGAACCTGTTGAGCACAAAATAAAAAAAGAGTAAATGAAAAAAGGTGAAACAATTAAAGTTAAAAAAATAAATGTAAATGCGTATAAAGCAAAAGATAATAATGTAACAGTGTGGTACATACACGTGGGCGGATAATGGCACACCAATGTCTGTAGGGAATGAAAGCTTTCAGGTATGTATACAATAAAGCTACTAGAGTATGAGAGGCTCTGAGGGATCTCCAGGACAATATTGGAAGTCTGATGTGATTCGGCTTCTCCTGATTCCTATTCTAGCGGTGTAGTACTAGTGTCTACCTCATCCCTTTCAAACACGCTCCTCGTAAGTATTTTGATGACTCCACCTCCACTTTTACCTAATTTCAACGAAGAAAATCTCAAACTAAGAGTCGGAATACGGCTGGTTTAAAGCTCTCGAAGTGAGAGTATTGAGAATGAGAAAATTTATGAAACTTCAGCGGATTTATGGTCCAATTGTCACGAAAACTGAGTGTCCGAATTTAGACTCACCTTTTTTGGAGCTGTTTATCGAAGACTTTCAGGCGTGGAGACAATTACTTCAATCAGTCTGAGCATAGTAAAGAATTTGGTTGCGCCCAAAACCGAAAAACACCTCTACAAAAAGTTATATATATAAAAAGATCTTGTCTCCTAGCTCAGAGGGAACTTAAAATAACATAACAAGAGGACTAGCGTACATCAGTTTCTTAGCTTTCTTAACTTTTGATGAATTATCAAAAAAAGATGAAATAATCCAAGCGAAGCTTCTGCTTATTGCAAATAAAGACGTTAAGATTAAATATTTTGCCATAACCTAAAAAGGTTGATCAGAAGGTACCAAAATCGTAGAGCTTAAAGAGGTTAGTTTACTTTGGCTCTTTGCCACGCCTTACATAGGCTTGTTGATTCTTTGTAGGATCAGATGGAGATCCAAATCAATTCGAGATGAAGTAGAAAACGTCCGCTTGTGCTGAATTCTATGAAGTCTAGATTCTTGATGTGTTAAAGATTTTCTATATTAGACCAGACATGAACAGTGGAGGTGTTCCAACGCCTTACTCATGCCTCATGAGTACTTTTAAGCCTTTGACAATATGTATATATGTATTTATCTTGTTCAAAACAAATCGCTTACTGTTTTAACCTTCTATTTTAGCAACTAAATATTAGCTAAGCTTTGACAATTCTCAGCTGTCGAAGGCAACAGTGAGGGAATTATTACTATTTAACTCACAAATAGATGGCGCTAAACAAGAATACCAGCAATTTTAGTAAATTATAATTTTTCCTGTGTAATGCTAAATTTTGTATCCGTTGAGCATGAAAGCGCTGGTTTTAACGTATGTACACAGCATTAGTTTTATAAGGAAAATGTGTAGCAAACCCAATCGATTAGTTAAAAAAACAAGAAAGTTTCATTAGTGCATTTCTCCGTACAGAAATATTAATAATAGTGGCATGTGAAATAGAAAAGCATTGTTTTGTTCAATAAAAAAATTATTTTCAAATTATTAGTTTCATTTATTTAGTACCAAATCATGGAGCACTAAAAGTATACTTACAAACACTACAACAATCGATAGTGCCATAATCGATAGTTTGACATCTCTCCGCGTGAAAAATATTGTGATTCAATTTGCAAGAAATATTCAGAGTTTCTTTCAGTAAGTTTGCATACTTAAAATCAGTTTAAACGTGTATTTCTCTAAAATTTCCGCATTTCACAAAATTTATCACTTTTCCTACCCGTTCATTTATACAAACATACATACATATAGTGCATATCTATTCCCAAGTGTTCGTTGTTCAATTTCAAATAACTACGACCACCTGCTGTGCCGATTACTTGAAGCCAATTACATTGCCAAATAGTAAGTGAAGCTGAAAATGGATTTGCCGTCAACATTATTGAGAGATCGAATGAATTGTGTATGAATGCAGCACATTTTGGAGTCATATAAATGTTTGAATGAATGAATTTGTTCAATGGTTAAGCTTGTTGCTGGTTACTGGTTATTGAGTCTACATAGTATTTGTGCGGGTGTGACGAAAATTGGTTGGTCAACAGGCGAGATGGTCATTTTAGTTAGTTGACTCTTGACCGGTTGCAAGCACAGCTGGATACTGCTACTGGGATTACGCTAGTAACACATATGTATGTATGTATGCATGCATTTATGTGCGGAACATATATATGTATGCACAGTATGGCGCTTGAGTCTACGGTTTCCGCAAACCGGATGCAAAACTTCCTAGCAAAGCAGACCATTGTTGAAGTATTTTTGTCTATATTTTTTCTCTTTTTTTTGCGCTTTTTGTTGTGCACAAATACAAGTGGTGGTACCCGCAATGAGCCGTTACAAAATAACTACTGATTTAAATGCTTCACTGAACACACCCAACCAGAGTACGAGCAGCAGTAAGGGCGCGAGTGTGAGCATAGTGTGTAAATCAGATAAAAGCGAAACTTTGTATTCATGTGAGCGTGTAACAGAAAAACATATCCCTAATGGCTTGACATACATACATACATATGCATATTTATAAAAAAAAAACAGCGCGTCGAATAGGTAAAAAGCATCAGGTGAGTTTGTACAAAATTTCATTGCAAAAAGTCTCTTTCTCTGAGTGTGTGTGTGTGGCTGTGTGCCTTTCAATAGCTCGGTGGATTACGCTGTGTAAAATAATTTTTTGTGGCGGATTACAAGCTACAAGTGTTGATGTGCATAGCTTTTGGTAATTGTAGTCGAGTGGTTATTATTACGAAGCTCCAACTCAACATTATTAATTTTTTCGGAAAAGGAAAAAGACTTTGATTTTGTATTCATCGGTTATACTAGAAATTTTATTGTCGCCAGAAATATGTATTTACTACAAATTGGTGGCATAAAGAAATATTATTTTATATTTATGCGAATGAAAAGATCGAGAGAGGATGTAGGAGAATACAAATTTTTCTCTTTTTGTGGGTTAAAAGTGGGCAGCAGAATCGGTTTCTTTAAAGGCGGCACATAAGTATGGAAGGTTGTGATTTTAGTTATGAAAACATGGTGCTCGAGCCGGTTCTTCGTGGTATTCCTAGGCTAAAACTTAATGAACCGTAGCGCCCACACCCCATAAACATTATACTGAGCTTGAACGATGACCACGTGCGACTAGTAAGCATTATGAGATTTTAAAAGAAGGACGACGGTTACGTGGAACAGACAGTGACCCTGCTGGGATTGATGGATTTGGATGAAAGAATTTACTCTAGTGCAAGCAGGCGAGGAGAGATCGGGTAGAGAAAGATCTAGCTCCACTTAGTGTCCCCAATTGGTGTCGAACAGCGAAAAGAAGAGATGACCACGCCATGTTGATTTGGCCATAATTCCGTAAGCAGTAATATCACCAACTAAAGAAAAGAAGACTTCACGGTAGTTGAACAGCAGCTTGGTGCTGTCTCAGTCAGCGAAAATTTGGACGAATTTTATGGAATCCGTAGAATCGTTTTTGACTAGGTCATAAGATCGAAAGGAGCTGAGTGAATATAGTAGAGGTTAGTAACTCTGGGTTAAGCGAATGGTGGAGTTTCGGAATGTGAAATAGTTTTTGATTTTCATCGATTATGATCGATTATGCGCGGCGGAATTTTGGTACGCAGGTAGCGAGGCCAGGGTTCTCTTTTTGTAACGCGACCTTAAGAGACCTAATCAGAGTTGCTCTGGCTATACTCGACACCTAGAGCTTGTGTTTTACTCAAAGAGCTCACTAGTGTTGATCTACAATAACCCAAGCCAGGTAGCTCAACTCTTATGCTTCTTACAGTTGCTCTCTACAATACCATTACCTTTACTTAGAGGGCTTCTTCTTTAATTTTAAGTAGAAAGATCTAGAGTATGAGTTCCACTTATCCTATGTTCATGATTGCGGCATGAAATTTCTTTAATAACCCCTGAAAGCACGACAGTTCTTAGTCTGCGGAAGGAACTTGGCACTGAAATCCACCTTTGGAGACTTCCCATTCCAGTTTGCTGGAATTATCTTCAAAAATGTAGAGTAAATTATTCTTCTACACTTACCTATTATCCTCCGCGAATATGTACAGCGAGTATGTCTCCCGCTGCTCGGTGAGGTTCGTCGGTTTTAAACGTTCAATGAGGATTTGAAATTTACTCATATGCTCAGAGCTCTGCATATTCGACTGCTGTCCCAAGCTCACTTGTTGTGATTCTTCTTGTTCACGTTCCTTTTGTTGTTTCTGCAGTAGCTGTTGCTGCCGCGTGTATTGACTAATGGAACCTTTACGTTTTTCCCGTTCCTGCATGTATTGTTGTAACATATCCGATTCCGGTAAATTCATATGCCACTTATCCAAATCGAGTTTAGAGTTCGTATAAGACATCGATTTTCGATTCGCTTCCAAATTGTGCAAATTCAATTGCGAACTTTTGCTGAAGGCCAACTCGAACGAAGACATACGACGATGGGCAGCCGTTGGTGCGTACAATTTGGGCGGTTGATTTAGATTTTGATAGAGTTGCGAGTTAAAGATGCAGGCAGAGGCACGACGGCTACCCAACGGCGGTATACTGCCAATACTCAGGGTGGTCGAGAGACGGCGTATTGAGTTTTGCGGACTCAAACGATTCGTGTCTTTCGTCTTATGTTGATTCGTCTGATTGTTTGCCGTCAATGTAGCGCCGCTGGAAGGCGTGCGCGGTGCCGACGGACTGAGAAAGGCATCGGAACGTAGCGAACTGCTGCCATTGCTTTGTGGCGCCAACAGACACGAATTGTCACTGCCATTGTTTAGTTGCTGCTGTTCGTCATCTTCGGCGCCACTACCGGCATCTGTGGCGGCCTTAGTTTTACGCTTCGAGCTGCTGCGCCTAAAACGCTTTAAACTCGGTATGCGTTGCATGCCGGACAGTGAGGAGGGGCTGATTGTTGATATTGCCGAAGCCGAAGCTGAAGGCAGTGTGAGCGGCGGCGGCGGTGTATCCAAACTGCTGCTCGCAGCAGCTGTTGCGGTGGTCGCTGTCGATATTGTAGCACCTGTGGTAACGACAACGGCGGCGTTCAGTGGCGATAACTCGATGCTGCTCACTGCGTTGCCGCCACCACCACTACATCCTCCGCCAACACCAATACCACTACCACTACCACCGACAGCGCCATTGCTGCCGGTGCCCGGGGTTAGCGGCATGCCAGGCGTGGATAATGTTGAGATGGTTGTTGGCACAAAGATCGGTCCCGATGGGCTGGTGTCGGCGCTCTTTGATATATCATCTATGACAACGCTATGCATACTACTATTGCTACTTAGGGCACTAGGGAGTAAACTACTACTGTTTGTCACTAAATTACAGCTGCTTAGGTTAGTATTGCTTCCTTGTTGTTGTTGTTGTTGTTGTTGCTGTTGTAGTTGGCTGGCATTCAGTATATTCAAGGGCTTGTGCGTTAATACGGGTGATGGTGGTATCAGATCAATTGACGGTATGCCCTCGTCGAGAGAACGTTGGCCGCTGAAGATGGTCGGTGGTCTGAGAAGTGAGGGCGAGCCGGGGCACTGCGTTTGGGAGATAGAAGTAGAACAAGAAAGAGAAAAAAAATCAGTATTATTAAATGCGAGCTCCGACATATAGATAGATAACTGTATAGCACAAATATAAGATAAAAAAAATAATATATAATTACAATATTAGCAAGGGCGCAAACCAGCAAAATGGCGTGTACGCATACTCATTACAAAATAGTATTTGGTAGCAAATAATCGATCCAAGACGCGAAACTCAGTAAGCATTTGTGTGTTTGTGTGTGTGTGTGTGTGCTTTGCAAAAGCAAAAAATTTAAAGTTTTCACTTTTTCTTTTACTTTACCTTCTCATTTGTAAACAACAAGTTTTCAAAGTTTTATTTAGTACTAAAAGTTCAGGAAAGGAGCATAAGATCACAAATGTACACCTCAAGAGCCTACATCGCTTTAAGCTTACCTGATTGCCAGCCCCACCGTCGGCGTTTGCTTCCAATTCTTGTGGATTCCAACTGCGAAAACTCATGCCACCCTCGAGTGTGGTGTTTGGTGAGTCTTGTGGCGTTGCGGCGGTCGTAGTAATTATGGGCGGTTCACGCAATGGGCGTATACGTGAAAGGCGTGGTGCATCACCGCGACGCTCTCTTATAGAATATGTCTAAAAAAAGAGAGAGGGATATTTTGTGAAAATGAAATTTGGCAACGATGTATAATTAAATATAAGCTTAGAATGGGAGACTTAAGTTCTTAAAACAAGATCTCCTGTTTAGAAATGCCTAAAATCATAGTTATCTCTCACATAAAAAGCCATAGTCTAAAAATGAACAGTGTGAGTGGGTAATTTAGCAACGTTGCATTTTCAACGGTGACTGTTACTCAAAAATTTAGTGGCATTTTAGGTTTAGTATTAAACTTTTTACTTAAATATGATGATTAAACCACATTTTTTTTGTAGAAATTTGGCAACGTTGCATATAAAACAAAGCTTTGCATGTGTGATAAAAACATCGTCCTATAATTAAAAAAATAATATTTAAACCACAGTTGGGATAATTTTTAAGATGTGAAATAATATCCATGAAATTTGGCAACATTGCATGTAGAATCCAAACGCAGTTTGAAATGAATACAGAAATATACAATTTAAAGTGGAAAAAATTATTCGAAATTATTTAAGAAAAAAGCGATAAATGACATTTTCTTATAATTGCTCATATTCAAAAAGTTTGGCGTGAAATTTGGCAACATTTCGTGAGAATTTAGATTAAAAAGTATTAAAAAAAATGTTTTTATAAACAATACATGAGAGATCTCTTTCACCCGCAACATTTAAACACTTGTTTTATCACTAAGAGAGGTAGATTATTTGTGAAATTCAATTTAAGAAAAATTGGCAACGTTGTAAGTTCACACAAAAATGTTACACACTGGCTTAAATAACACAGCGTTATCTTTATAAAGCTTAAAAAATTATTACTTTCTTACTAATAGAGACAGCCAGGTTTGCATATAGAAAAATATAATGTAAGGAAAATTGGCAACGTTGCAAGTTAAAACGGTAGCTGCAGAAATAAGCTAATATTGCTGGTTATTTACATATCAATTAATTCTAAGAAGTTAGTTCCTATAAACATAGTCAGTTCCGGAAGAAAAACTTATATGGTGAAAATTTGCAACGTTGGAAATCGGAAAGGGAGAGCGAAAAGTGAATATTATAATGGGTATGAATATTTGTGTGAATAAAAAAGTTTTTATTTACGAAACACTCATAATTTGATACTTTCGCTCTCTCTCTCTCTCTCTCTCTCTTTCTCTCTATCCTGCTTCTTTTCTTTATGTTCATCGTTTATGTTTTTTAGTGTACTCACCTTTTTTAAATTCTTTATTTTATCATCATCCATCATTATTTTACTACTACCACCGTCTTTATCGCTGGACTTACGCCCACTGCCGCTACCCGAACCACTGCTTCCACCACCAACACCACTTAAGTAACTCTCATTGATTTGATAATCTTGTGTTGGCTGTAAGAGCATACGTTGATGCTGTTGCTGTTGTTGCTTTTGCATATTGCATTTTGAGTCTAAAATCAACTCTGTGGGATCTTGTAGCTGTGGAGTATTTGAAATTTAAAAAAATAATTTGAATAAAAAATTTTTAGTTAGTGGAAATGCATTTCGTTATTGGCTATGGAACGTGCGTGGAAATGAGTTGAGTTAAGTGGCTTATGAAAGGAAGATGAAAATAAGTATTTGGCACAGATGTTTAAAAGTATGAATGAGATTTTTGAGTGAACTGTTGAAATTATACATAGGGCTGAGGTATGTCTGTGCCAATAAGTTGAGTAGTTTATGAATGAAGAAGGCTTTCAGGAAAATAAGAATTCGGAAAAATGTTTGAAATACCCAATTGAAAGTTTTGAGTGTAAGAAAAGTAATAAATGAGTATGAGTGAATGAGTAGCATGTATTTCAGAGTTTTTTTTTATATATATTTATGTTGAATGAGGAAGTAAAAAATGTTTTGAATTGTTTCAGTGATATTGAGCTTTGAAGCTTTTTTGAGTTAATATGAACAAAAAGCGGTAAGTAATGGAAGGTGAGCTTTTCGTAAAGCTTTCCTTTTACATACATGTTTAAAGCAGAATAAAATTATTAAATAATCGTTTGAGTCAATCAAAAATTATTGAGTGTTGAGCCATTGAGTACTTTTTAATTGGATTTAGAAGGTATATTTGCTTAAGAAATGAAATATGTTGGAAAATAAGCAAATTTGTAAAAAAAATTAAAATGAGTTTATACGTTCTTCGCTGCTGAGAGTGATTGTGACTGAGTGGAATGTCTAAATTTAAGTCGAAGAGCACAAGTTTGAGCAAACACAAGTTTTGTCTGTTAAGGAAAACGGATTGATTTTATATGTCATGAGAAAGCTTTGAATTGCTAAAGGAGAGTTAAGAGTATTATGAATGAGCTGAGTGTTTGAGATTTTTTTTTTCTTGTAAAAACATATAACTTGAACTGTTTTCAAAACTAGGGTGATGTTTGGAGTAAAATAAAGCTCAGTTGCTTAGCTTTCTAGGCTCGAATTTATTTTTTGTAATTTGAGTGGATCAATAATGAAAATGATGTACATATAAAAATTGATTGGGTACAAACATAACTGAGTGGTTTATAGTTCTAAAATGAGTGTGGCGAAATAAAATTTCTGAGTGTTTTCTATTAAAATTTATTGTTTAATAGAGAATTTAGTTATTTTCGCTCATACACACATGCATTCCACACAGTCTCTCGCTCACACCATTCCTTTCCGCTAGAACTCAAGTTGGTTCGCTATTTCATAATAAATGAGTGAAAAAAAAATTAAGTTTTCATTGTTGCTTCTTAAGTTTTGGTTTTCCTATTCAAAAGTGAATTTCCCTGAAATTCTTTTGGCCTAATTAATTGAGTAGAAATAGTTGAGTGTTTTATAGTTCCCAAATTAGTGTAGTGAATTTAACTTTCTTTATATTTTTTTTATAGACAATTAGAAAGGTTTCTCCCACTTCCATGGATTTTGCGCTTTCATTTTTTCCTTTTCCCTCTAACACTATTGCTTTCACTCAAAACTACGGTTTGCTGTCAATCTTAAATGAAATGAGTGAAAATTGAAATGTAGTTCTCATTTTTGCTTCGTAATATTTAATTATTCCATTTCAAATTGAACTTCGAAATTTGTTTGGGTTTATTAATTGAGCGATAGGTAATTGAGTAGCTTAATGAGTGTGGCGAAACAAATTTTCTGAGTATTTTTATTTTTGTGTAGACATATAAGTATTTTTCTCTCACTTTCATGTACCTTAAGCTACACAGTCACTTTCTGATAGTTTTACTTTTATATTCTGAGTTTTTTTCTTGCGGCATACGTTTGCTCAATTCCTAATTTCCTTTCATTATTATTTAGACCCTTTCACTCTCTTACTTTCGCTCTCTCTCACTTCTTTGTATCTCTAGTTTCCTCTCCCTCTCTCTCTCTCTCTCTCTCTCTCTCTGTATCTCTTCTTTCACCCTCACTTTCACTCACATTGTATACCTTTTTCTTAATTACTCTCGAATTATACTTACTTTTCGCACATCCTCGGCGCTATGCCAACGATTTCGTACCTCATAGTAACTCTCATTTGTCGATGTCGAGTCCGCTTCACTGCTACGCGACTCATCGTACATGGCGTCGCTGAAGTTCTCCGCCAAAGTCTCTTCGCGTAGCTTTTTCACCAATTCGCGTTGTTCACGTTCGCGACGTTCATTTCGCTGAGGGAATCAGAGAATTCAAAGAATTAGAATTTTCGCCAGCCGCACGCAAACGCGAAGCGCCGCTTAGAACAGACGAGACGCACACACGCATAAACGCGGCTGGATGAGGAGGAGGTTACATATACATATACAAATACATATCAAACATTTAACGTTGCGATCCAGCGGGGGCAAGGGGTTGTTATTGTACTGGCGGATAGGGTAGAGGGATTATAAACGTTTATTTATATCATATTTACAGCACATATATACATATGTAGATATGTATGCTTGCATGTTTTGCCATTAATATTAATATAATATTAAAAGTAAATATTTATATGAGAGCTAACAAATGCTGGGGGGAGAAAAAGCTGCAAGCTTTACGCTTGCGCGTGTGTGCGTTTGTTTTGTGGAGGCGTGGCATATAACCCTCGGGCGCGCAAACGCGGCGGCGGTTGGGTTGTGGGCGATACGTTAGAACATTTGTGAGTAAAGTTTTATAGGATAAAATCTTGACTGTCATAAATAATTTTCCACAAATTTTTCACTTTTTTTTCGCTTGAGTGTTAATTGAGTGCGTTTGAGTTGGAAAAAAAAACTAGTGAGCCAAGCGATTTTATATATGTTAATATAAATATTTAATATATAAATACGTATTTGTGTATAATAATATATACTCGCATATTTTTTTTAACATTTTATTATAGTTTAAGTGCATAAAAAATTTGCAAAAAAATTATTTGCATACAAAATGAATTAAGCATAAATTTGCCCAAAAAAAGCCATGCATTGTTTGTGGTAGAAAAAAATTGTGTGGAAAATTATTTATAGCGCCACAGATTTTAGAAAAATCTATATGGAAGTAGAAAGAAAGATTTTTCTCAGTAGAAAATATATTTTCATAATTTTTTTTAATTTTTTTTAAAATTTTTTTTTTTAAATTTTATTTTTTGAATTTAAAAAAAGTTATTTTTTATTTTTTTCCAACATGCTTGCGAATATATTTTTTACTTTTTATTTTTTTTTCCTAATTTTGCAATTTTTTTTTTTTACTTTTGTATTATTTTTTCACTTTGATTTTGTGAGTTATTTTTGTAAAACTCTACCTCTGAACTGAATCCCTCAACTAAAATGGCGACCAACAAATTAAATAGCACATAATTGCCGAATGTCATCAGCGCCACAAAATATAATGCGGCCCAATGACTTGTCTTTTCCATGCCATTGAATAGCACGACATTCCAATCCTCCTGCGTTAAAATCTGGAAGAAGCGCATTTCGGGTAAGTTGGAGAGAAATAGCAAAGAAAAATGAAGAAAAAAATTTTATATTAGAATATGTAATTACATATATATAAAAATTGCATACATATATATGCATGTATGTACATAAATATATATTAAATGGAACAGAGACTAATACATAGACACGTTTAGGGAAATGAAAAAAAAAGAAAATAATAAGAGAGCGAAAGAGTTTACTAAAAAAAAAAATGAAATAAATTAAAAAAATGTAGTTAAAATAAATAATAAAATACAACAATATAAAATTAAAAAAAGTTTTAATTTTTTTTAATTAAGAAAACTAAATTTTTTTATAAGCATATAAAATTGAAAAATGAACAACAATAATTTATAATAATTAGAAAATTTACATTATATTTATTTACAATAAATATTTAATTGAAATATAATAAAAATAAATTAATTACAAAAATATAAAATAAATTAAATTTGCAATAAATTAACAGTTACTTACATAATTAAAGGCAGATAAAATAAAAAAAAATCTATTTAAATTGCTAAAAGTTTTGCTTTTGTAAAAATTGTGCAATATTTTTGAGTTATTGTATATTTAAATGTTTTTTAAATTATTAAAAATATGTTAAATATCCCAGCACCAAAAACTTTTTCATGGAAATTTTCAAAATTACTTTTATTTTTTTTTTAGAAGCATGAATTAGCCTAGAGGCAGAAGGCAATAACCAGCAGACAACGGCATATGAGATCAGCGAAACGCCCACTAGTTGTAATAGATGGAGTTTCAAAAGGTGGAAATGAAACAAATGTGGGTAGAGAATATCACCCTGCGGAACACTTTGTTTCGTTTTTCGTAATTTTGAAGTTTAATAACGATACTTTTCCGTAGCGCAGCGATCGCTTAGGCAATTTATGCTCCACCCTTTTAGTCTTGGTGCTAATGAGAATTTCTCACTGTCCGGTAGGACCACTGATTGGTTTACTATGTCAAAAACTTTTTCCAGTGCTACCAGCGCCAAGTCGATTTCGGTTAAGGCCATGGATAATCTGGGGGTTTATGACGTTAAGTGCTGTTGTGGTACTCTGCACACTCTGTTGGAAACTAAGCTGATGTGCTGCTGGAGGGATAAGAGTATCCTTTGTTGAAAGATTTTCCCGGTTTCAGCAGCGGCAGTCTTTTAACCAGTTTCCAAATATCGGGCTTTTGTCAGTGTAGTCAAAGACAAATTGAGCACTTTCGGAGGAATTGTTCTCCCCCTGAATCCAGATGTTTTAGCATCAGCTTACTTATATCATCGACAACAATGGCGATTAGCCGTCTGGTCGTACATTACGTCGCACCCATCTAAATGTCGGGGACTAACGAGACGCCGATGAAGAAGTTACAAGCAGGACACCGAAGTATATGCTACGGTGAGATCGGACCCAGAGCCCGTCACTTGAGTCCGTTAATACCTTCATAAACTCTTTTCTCATGAAATGCGTACTCAAAATCCAACATCTACCCACAACAGATAAAGACCCTCAGTAGCCTTGAGAGTTTTGATAAAATTTCTCTGGTTCTGGTTATTATACTAGACTCAACTTCTATATGTCCGGAATTGGCCTCGACATATCACATTTCTGGCAGCGTTCTTGTTATGAAGACAACTGCCAGCTGCTGACCTTTCTAGCTAGCTCCTAAAAGTGATTTATCCTGTGCTGGGTAGGAAAGTAATTTTTAAGTAAAAATATTAATCATCAGAAAGGTATTTTAATTTTTTTTAATTAACTAATTTTGTAGTAATTTTATCTCTCTTTAATAATATACAAATAACCCATCATATTGCACATCACTTTCAAAATATTAATAAATACCCATTAAATAATTTGAATTTATTTCTATTAAAATTTCTAGACACATAAAGTTAAATGAAATAAAAGAGACGTCACAATAAGTGCCAAAATTGCAAGAAAAAGCAGAATATTAAAAGAAATACTCAATAAAAGTAAGACAAACGTAAGAAAACGAAAAAACTTAGACAAATCTGCAAAAGCACAAAAAGCTTAAAAAGCACAAAAAGCTTAGGATGCACCAAATTGCCAATTTGTTAAAAAAATTGCTTACTATTTCTTAAATAAATTAAAAATATATACTTCTATTTTTATAAGCAATTAAATTAGAAATATATATGTGTATATATTTCAAATTTTAATAATAAAAAATAAATGCACGGCGTAAAAAATCAAAGCTAGGCAAAAAGCAAATGCAAATTATTTTCGAATTATTTAAATATTTTTACAGCCTTATTTAGAGAAAAAAATCTAACATTTGTAGTGTTTATTATATAACGATTTTTGTTTAAACCTTTTTATGAACGTCTTACATTGCGTTATGCGTAGAGACTCAGAAGAGAGTTAATAAAACGTGCCGTAAATTATATGAGTTATATGAGAAAAATTACGCTAGTTAATATTTAAATAATAAAAAAAAACTCTTTTCTAATGCAGCTTTTACTTTGCCTAAGAATTTGAAAGAATTTCTTCTGGGGTTAAATCTAATTGATTATAAATTTCTCTCAGTGTACTTAAATGAATTGCTACTCTAGTCGCTTAAGCCCGTAATGAATTTTTTTTAGGCACATAAAACCTCTCATTACTTATTTAAAAACCTAATATTTTAATTTAAATATATTTTTATAATTAATTACTACAAATTTTAAATAAAAAAGTCATGCAAAGAATTAAAATAATTCAATTTTTTTTAACTTAATGTTAATAATTCAATGAAATATAATATATACACATAATTAATTGTATACTAAAGCATTTCAAAAAGAAAAAAAAATTGACCTTAATGTTAATCGCAATTGGTTTTGGTGTAAGTAAATATTTCTACAAAAAATTAAAGCTTTTTCAAAAACAAGCCTTTTGAGTTTCTGAACTTTTGTTAAAGCATTTTTGGTTTTTTTGAAGCTTTTTTGCATATATCAATATGTGCTTTTTAGATAGGTAAACGTCTTAAAATGACTTTTACTGCCATATATTTGTATATACACATTAATGAAATATCTTATGTTCAAATTAATTATTATTACCTTGAAGCTTTCTTCCGCCATATGAGCTTTTCTTTCATTATTCATTCAAATTACTTTTTTAAATTGAATTTATATGTTACATAGTAATACTTTGGTAGCTGATAGCATTTGAAATAACATAAATTTTCAACTTTGATTTCTAGAATTTATATAGTTTAACGGTAAATGTGTAACGGTAACGAAACGATGTGACACTTCAAATATAGTATGTAAATCTTGTTATTATGCACAAAATGGTGCTGTTACTCTGCAACTGTAAATGTAACGGTAACTCAAAACTTGTGTGGTAACGTCTAATATGAGTAATTACTGAACAACTGTGATGCTAACGGTAAAGAATAGATTTTTGTGCTATTTTTCATGATAGTGTGTGATTTGAAAAAAAAAAAAATAAAAATTAATTTTCGGTTCAAGATTTTAAAAAATAGGGGCATGACAATGTAATTTTTGTACATTCATTTGCGACCACACGTGAAGCTGTTTTTTTTTTTGCAAAATTAAAAACACTAAATGTCAGTTTTAAAATCGATAAACGTTATTCAGTTTTCAAATTTTCGTTTAAAACAAGAATTCAATACTACATTTATAATTTTATAATCGCTAAAAAGACTTTTGGTCGAGCTCATCTTCAAATTTATGGTTTTGCGTCTTGATGTTTCTTCAACAAATGGAGGGACCTACAGTTTATGCCAAGCCACCTCCGAATGAATTATAATGACCTTTTCATTTCATGCCATTTCGGGCTCTTGTCTGATCACTCATGTAGTCTAAATCTCTCATTAGATTTAGTTGGGCCGCCAATATCAATCTTTGGTCAATTACGCCATTCACTCATTAATTGACAATTAAATTTCTTTCGTTTACATTTATTTATGACAAATACAGTTGCTTTCAACATTAAAATGCAAAAGGCAAAGTATCTCTAATTAGTGTATCATTTTATCGATCACATGTAATCGATTAATATAAAGCTTACTTTTAAATAGTACGCCATGTTTACACATGCTCTCAAACTGTGCTTACTCAGCAATTTTATTGTACGAGCGGCGATTGCATTGACGACGTCATTTTAATGTTAATCAAATAAACGTAATCAATTACGTTTGGTAAAAATCAAAATTATATTATAATTAATGCAGTATGCTGATAATCAGCGAATGATTGAGAGGAGAAGGAGAATTCAAAACTTTTTGTACCTGAATATTAAGGCAAAAATAAAAAAAAAGGAATAAACTGAAATACTTGCAACTTGGGTTTATTCGTTAATAGCAAATACATAAGTGATTTGTCAGTGGCGGAAGTTATAATGTACGAAATGAAGTGAAAATAATAATAATATAAAAATTCGAAATATAATGAAAATCGTTAATGCTACACTTCACCTAAAGTACCTATGTATGTAATTTGCTCGTTTGTTTCTTAATATATACACATATATTTCGAGCTTTGAATGCTTTTTTTCAATAATAGAATGTCTTAAATAACTGTAGCTACTGTGTCTTAGTGCTATTTTCAAACTTCCTGCTATAAAAATTTTTGAAACTACAATATCTAATAAAAATTTCACAATATGTAAAATATATATGTATCTGCAATCAATTTTTTGGTGTCCTTAATCTCACTATATTTTCATTATCAAAAGCAAATTAATGTGCATGTGTACTTTATATATACTTTTTCAACTATTGTACGCTTTTTGTGACGCCTGTACCAAAAAATACAGTGAGTTTTCCAAACTTTACGCTACAAACAAGTAATCTACGAAAAATATGTATGTTTTTATACTTAGTGCTAAAAAATTTAGTAAACTAAATTAAAATAAACTGAAATGAAATGAAATAAAATAAAATAAAATAAAATAAAATAAAATAAAATAAAATAAAATAAAATAAAATAAAATAAAATAAAATAAAATAAAATAAAATAAAATTAAATATATTAAATTAAATGAAATTAAATTAGTTCAAACTGAGCTAAAATAATTTAAATTAAGCAAAATGAACACGAAAAAAAAATTGCGGAAAGTTTTTAAAAATTAAAAGATAACTTTTTGGAAAGTAAGAATACAAATTGGGGAAAAAACAAAGATTATAACAAATTTAGATAATTATTGTGGAAAAATGTTAGAGAATGTAACTAAATTTATGAAAAAGTTATAAAAAACTCAAATTATATTTTTTGGAAAAAATTTATTATGTTAATAATAACAACAATTAACTGATCCTCCTATATTTATTTATCAAATTAAAAAAATTTATGAATAATTATTTTCTCAAAATTATATATAAATTTGTATATTGCTCAACAATATACAAACCAAATGAAATAAAAATAAAATATTTAATTAACTACAAATAAAAGCAATTATTTAAAAAGTCTAGCTGCTACGAAAAATTAATTTCGGAATATAAGAAAAAGTTTAAATGTAAACACTACTTAGTGAATTAAGGAAGAAAAGGTATAATCAGAGCTATTTAAAAATATTTTTTTATATGATATATATATATTTGTTTTGATAGTAAGAGGTAAGGGTTTGTTTTGTTTGTTGTAATGTAGAATTCAAGTTTTTCCGCCAAGTATGAGTTCATGTTGTTTGTGATTCTTTTCTTATTTTTTTAATGGCTTTCAAATCTTTTTTTTTACTCTTTATTTATCTGAATATGTATGTTTGTATGTATGTATGTAGCATTGCTTTTTTTTTAAGTATATAGTAATTAGTTATGAAAACTATTTGTTGTGTGTTGTTCTTACTTGAAAGACTGTAACAGTGGCCCATAATATGTTGTTGAAGTGTTTGCGATCACATTCACATTGTGGATGTTTGCTGATTATTTCTGGACACGTACATTCACGTTCGATGCCAGTATCGTCCACAAATTTACAAAACTTACCGCCAAATAGATACATGCCCAATATGCTGTGGGTGTAGTTGTTGTAGTAGTAGTAGTAGTAGTAGTTGTAGTAGTAGGTATACATAGGTTCACACACACGAGTATATATGCATATAGTATATATAATATATATGTAGCTATGTATATATATTTATATATTATATATATAAACGTTTTTCTGTATTGTTTTATATATATAAGTATATATATGTAGTTTAAATTTATACGAGTAAAAGTATGTATAAAAGTAGCTTGTAAGAGTAAGTCGATTTTGAATTAATTTATTTGCTAATTATTTATGTATATATAATTGTCTTTTGCATTTTGTTGATAAAAAAAGTATTGCTAGTTTTGTTGTGTATATAAAATATTATTATATATTTATAATATATCAAAAATTATAGAAAATAGGTGTATTGTTGTTGTATAAGCTTGGTTTATGTATGCTGTTTGGGAAAAAACTAAGAATGGAACTGTGAGGGAATTAAGAAAATTAAATAAAGGATTTTCCATTTTTTTTTTAATTTTTTATTTTAATTTTTTATTTTAATTTTTTATTTTAATTTTTTATTTTAATTTTTTTTTTTGGAATTGTAAATTTTTTTCTTGAACTGTCAATTTTTTTTTCATTTCTTGCAATATTTTTTTATATTATTTATATATATTTTCTTTCATTTTAAATTCTTTAATATATAATAAAAAAATGTTCTTTTTCATTTTTTTAAACTTAAAACTTTTTTTTTTAGGATATATTTGCACTTTCGTACAGGGCGGGAATATGCCTCTTGTTGTTGTATGTTTGTTTGTTTGTTTTTGTTGTATTCTACTGATTTCTCCTATTTTATGTTTCATGTTGCTGCATAATTTTAGTACGATTATATATATATGTATATTAATTTACAGCTATATTGCATTTACATACATAAATGTATTGTCTTGGTATGTACAAGATTATACGTTTTTAAGAACATCATTAAAACAAAAAAAAAATTAAGCGAAATTTTCAATTTGAATGATTCGAGTTAAAAAAAAATCCTAGAATTTGCGAGTTATTTACAAAAAAGCTTTCTTAATCTTTTGCGTCGAATTTACAAATGTATGTCAGAATGTATGATACAATTTTGGTGTCGTCAAAATAAATTTTTCTATCGAAAATAAAAATTTTTAGTTTCAAATTAGTAGAAAGAGCGAGAAATTTGAGCAATTTTTGTTAATTAAAAAAAATTGAGTAGTTTTTCCGTCGATTGAGTGAAAACTTGTACGAGTGGGTTAAAAGCGTGTTAGGACGCTCAGGAGAGAGAGAGAGAGGAGTAAAAGATAAAAGGATAGAGAGAGACAGCGAGAGACGTCCGAAGTGCGCATTTGCAGCGCCCTTACGTGAGAGACAAGTGAGAGTATAAGAGTGAGTACTAATGTGGTTTGCGTGTGAGGTGGAGCGAAAAAGTAAATTGTGTTTGCTGATGTGGCATATGTAAGAAAAAGCAAACGGTAGGAGGGAGAGAGAGATAGAAAGGCTCAAGGAATAAGGTTGTAGAGTGGCTGTAAGTAGTTTTTGTTGTTGCGTGAGTTAGCATTGTGAAACTAGTGGGCACGAGAGCGCATATTACAGTTCTTAGAATTGCATACTTTAAAAAAGTGTAATAGTAAAGTTAGAAATAACTATTAAACAGCGAGAGGGAGAGAGAAAGAAAGAAATAGAAAGTGTTCAAAAGAAAAGTTATAAAATAAAATATAAATAAATGCTGTTTAGTGATGGATTTTATATTGGTTTTTTATTTTTAATTAGTTTTTCTCTTTAACAGAGTTTCGTTAGTAGTTGTTTTTTTTTTGAAAGCGTGAAAGTTGAGCTTTTACTTTTAGATGAGTTGGCGAGTGATATCAAGCTTTAAGTTATTTACAAAAATATATATTTAAACATGCTGCATAGCAAAAGAACAACAAAATCATGCTAGAAGCAGTGAAATTCCCACATGAGTGTTTGTGTGAGTGAGTATTCCACTCATCAAACTGAAATGTTGAGTTTAAGCTTCTGAGTGTGGCTGATTGAGTATGAATATGTGACACGGTGTGACTGTGATTGTATTAGTTAGTTTATTTTCGAGAATGACAGGCATGTATGTATAGTGAGTCGAGTGAATAATTTTATTTGAGTGAGTTCGTGTTTTCCTCTCACTGAATTATATTATTTTTAGGTTTTTGTGATGCAAGTGTCCATTATATGAAATTCGTAATTGAGTTGAGTAAGTAAAAGAGTGAGTTTATCTCAATTTTTCTTTTAGGCATCTATTATTTAATGGATACTTTTATACGATTAAAGTAAGTGAATGAGTGGTAAAAGTACTGTTGAGATGTGAGTAAGTGTGCTTATTTGCCAATTGAGTATTTTTATTTAGTGTCAGCTAAAAGTTATAGAGAGTTTGCTTGATAAGGCGAAAATGATTGAGTAACTGAGTACTTGAGTACTTTTCAGCGACAGTTCAGTATTTGAAGAGAATAAAAATTGAGCAGAAAAGAGAAACGCTTTAGCGTATCATTAACATATATATTGAAAAATTTAAGTAGAACTAAATTTGTAGAATCTGGAGGAAAGTAAAGCGCGTATACTGTCTTAAATACTAAATGTAAACTATTTAAGACATGTATGAAAAAAAAAAATAATTGAAAACTTTTATATAAATTATACTTTAAGAATTCTCAAACAGGGGTTGGCTTTTTGGCGTATTTTAAGTTTGAAACCTTATTTCATTATTTCCCACTTAATTGTGAGTTTAATGTTATACAAATGACAGCGTATAAAAAAATGTGAGTGAAATATTTGAGTGAGCTTCAAATTAAAAAAAATCGACTGATTCTTTTTATTGAGATTATTTTAAAGAATTACCGCTATAAAATTTTTCTTTTGCTGACTTTTATTTTTCGTTCCTACAGTTTGAAATGGAATGCGTGTGAAATGGAGTTTGAGTGAAGTTGACTTTCAGTTTAGAGCAGCTGCATGATTAATGAAAAAATTCAAGTTTGCTTTGTTTTTTTTCAACTGTGACTTTAAATACTTGTTTTTGAGTTTAATCCTATTATGTGGAGTAACGCATTTGCGTGTAAATATGAGTGATAAACAACTGAAGAGCAATATGAGGAATAACTGAGTGTGTTTTTCAAATATTTATTTACACAGCCTCATGCACACATGCAGTCCAACCAAGAAGAGCTGTTCAAAAATTTTTGAAGAAAATGGGCTTTTTGAAAAACAAAAACTGGAAAAGGCTTACCTGTGGCTTGTTGTGAAGGCGCGCTGTCGCTTTCGATAACTTAAAACTAATTTAAACATAAAAAAATTATTTATATGTTATCATTACCACTAAGTACTACGGCATGCGCGGGTTGCCATTGCAGTTCTTTGCTATTAATAATCTTTTCGTGTTAAATAAATAAACCTAGAGTCTACCGGGCCTAATCTAGGACCTACTTTATCTAAACAAAAATCTATATAGATATAGGTACATATATTTACTGGGAACTATAATAATTGATTTTTCAAATTTTTTTTTCTAAATTGCTAGTATTGTTTTCACTACTAAAATATATTTACTCACATATAAAAATATTTTTAGCTAAAAATTAATATTAAAAATTGTTTTTTTTTTTCAATGTTTTATACGCAATACACCACAAAAAAATATTGCTTCGAAAAAAATTCAGAAATATTGTAGCGCAAGCGAGAGTTTTTGAGATTTGAAAAAAATTAAAAAGAAATAAAAATTATTATAATTATATATGTACAGCGAATTATTAAAGAAAGAAGAGATATTTCAAAAAAATATATATAAATTACGCTAGCTTATTAAAAAGGTTCTACTACATTTATGCACAGTTTATTAGAAATGAAATAAATAATAATAAATATAAAAAAATAAAAAATAAATAAAAAATTAAAAAACAAATAATTTAATGTATAAAAGCATACATTTTTATGTTTTAAATAAATATAGAAAATGCAACTCAGCTAAAAGTACTAATAGGCAAAAAATAGTGGCAACTTAGAGAAATTAATTAAAAATAAATATATATTTCAAAATGATAAGAAATAATAATAATTTAAACTAACATTTATTTACTACAAAGGAAAGTAATAAAAAAGAAAAACACTTATTTTCTCGAATTTTCAATTAGCACAACACAAAAGAACATGGAAATTCAAGTTTTTTTTTTAATTGTTTTTCGTTTATAAACAGTTTTAATCAATTACGTATATTCTTCTTTTTTACTAAATTTTTTACAATATTCATAAGAAAAAAATCCAGCAGAGAATAAACATTAGTTAGTTGAAAAAAAAATTCAGTAGTAGTTATAGTAGTAGATATAGTAGTAATAATAATTAGAGTAGTAGTAATAGTAGTATTTATATTTTCTCAAAAAATAATGCTATTGGTTGTTCTAGCAAATTCTCTACCTGAAATACAGTGACGAGCGCCCACAGCAGGCTGTCGAAATTCTTACGATCGCATACTCTTTCACCGTTAACGATTTCGCAGAATTGACATCCGAATAGATTCATGCCGAGTATACTAAATTGATTGATGTTCGATTGGTTTGATTCGATATTTTATATATATGTATATATATTTGATTTTAATTTTATTTATATGTATGTATATATATATATAGATATATGTAAATTGATAAGCTCATTTGTGCCGATTTTAGTTAAATAAATATATATTTTTAATATATATGTATATATATATATATATATATATTTATATAGGTATAGAGTAATTATGTATGACATGTATATATAAATAGATAATTTTTAGATTTATTTAAATTATTTATTTTTTTATTTATATTTAATTTGTTTTAATATTTTTATTAATTAATTAATTAATTAATGTTTTTCAATAAAAATAATTAATTTCAAACATGTTCGAAGTAGTGAAATAGCGCATAGTAATATAAATAGTGTACGAAAAGAGAAAGAGAGAGAGAGAGAGAGCAAGAGAAATAGATATATATATATATATATGTGAAT